CCTCTGAAGACCGCATCGGGGGGGGGTCCCGCCTGAGACTTCTTTGCAGTTCACTCACATACGAGGCCCCCCGCCGGATACTTCCCCCATATTCAGCGACGACAGTTACACGGGTGAGGATGACCCGCCCCGCTCATAATAAAAACATGAAGCGCGAGCCCGATAGGGAGAGTGCTCCCGCCCGAGACTTCTTCAAAAACATTATCTGCGAGCCCGATAAGGAAGGGGGTCCAGCCTGAGACTTCCTCGCAGTTCACTCAGAGACGAGGCCCTCGCCTGATACTTCCCTATATTCAGGCCTCAGGAGCCAAAAAAAAGACGACAGTTGCACGGGCGAGGATGACCCGCTCGGACTAAACCACAAAATGCGGGCGCCATAGGGCGAAGGCCCCCGCCTGAGACTTCCTCGCAAGTCACTAACAGACAGAGGAGCCTCCCGCTTGAAATTCCGTCCAAAGTCAACCCTGAGAGACCCAAAAGTGACGACAGCTACAAAGGTGAGGATGACCGGCTCGGATTAAACACATGAAATGCGGGCCCCATAGGGAGGAGGCCCCCGCTCAGGACTTCCTCGCAATTTACTTACAGACGCGGCTCCCCGCCTGATACTTCCTCCATGCTGAGGCCTTAGGAACCCAACAGCGACGACAGTTAAAAGTTTGAGGATGACCCGCTCGGAATACAAACATGAAGCGCGGGCCCCATGGGAAAGGGCTCCCGCCTGAGACTTCCTCACAGCTTACTCACAGAAGACCCTCCCGCTCGAGACCTCCTCCATACTCAGGCCTCAGGAGCCCAAAAGTGTCGACGTTTACAGGTTTGAGGACGACCCAATCGGATTAAACACATAACATGCGGGCCCCATAGGGAGAGGGCTCACGCCTGAGACTTCCTCGCAATTCACTCACAGACGCGGCCCCCCGCCCAATACTTCCCCCATATTCACGCCTCAGGAGCCCAAGAGTGTCAACAATTACACAGGCGAGGATGACCCGCTCGGATCAAACACGTGATGTGCGGGCCCCATAGGGAGATGGCTCACGCCTGGAACTTCCTCGCAATTCACTCGCAGACGAGACTCCCGCCTGATACTTCGCCATATTCAGGCCTCAGGAGCCCAAAAGTGACGACAATTACAAGTTTGAGGGAGGATGACCGGCTCGGATTAGAAGCATGAAGTGCGAGCCCCATAGAGAGGGGGTTCCCGCTTGAGACTTCCTCGCAATTTACTCACAGACGACGCTCCCGCTCGAGAACTCCTCCGTATTCAGGCTAGGGGGTGAGTGGAGACGAAGTGATGAACGAGCGAGGGATGATGATGATGATGATGATGATGATGATGATGATGATGGATGGCTGATGCTGATGGTGACCGATGGTAAGTGACTGAATATGATGATGATGGCGGCGGTGACGATGATGACCAATGGTGATGATGACCAATGGCGGGGTGAATGCGTGAGCGAGGCGGAGAGTGGGAGGGAGGTGAGGCTCCTGCGCGGAGGGTGTCCAGAGAAAACGAGATACCCACTTTGGATGTAGGAAAAAACCCTATCAGTGGATGGTTTCCACACTAGTGATATGGATATTGAGACCTGTTGTGAGATCGATAGTGAGACCGATCGTGGGATCAAAAGTGGGACAATAGTAAAGTCGATCTTGACACTGGCAGTGAAGTCGATTCAGTGAGGTCGATAGTGAGATCGATCGTGAGATCGCTCGTGAGATCCACAATGACATTGATTGTGAGATCGTTAGTGGGATCGATGGTGAAATCCACTTGCGAAACGATAGAAAAGGTGGGTAATGAGATCGGTGGTGAGACCGATCGATACAAAAATCGAGCAGAAACCCAAGGACCCAGAAACCCGGGAATCTCGCCGCCCACCGAAATCGGCCCAGAACCAGCAACCCGGAACCAGGGAACAGGGGAACCGGAAACCGGGAACCCAGCCGCCCACCGAAATCGACCAGGCACTTTCGCAGCGTCAGCTGGCACCCCATCACTGCAAGCGCTGATGGGGGAATACCCGAATGAAGCCAACCTACCCCTCAATGTCCCACAGGGGTTCCCGCTATAGGTGCCAATACCTTCTCCACTGCTGAGGAACCCCTCGCAGTCGGGGTCGGGACGAGGAGGAGGAAGAGGGGGTCTGGACGCGCGGTGCTGAGCAAGAGGCACCCCGCAACACAACAGCAGCAGGGGGCTACCCTCGGTTCTGTCATTCGAAAGGAGTGCCGCAAACTGCCCACCGACGGCCCTCTGGTCGATGCGGTTGGCCTCCCAGTGCAAAGATCGAGCTCATCATCGTTGTCGGAGACTGGAGCGGGGATACCTGCTGCACCTGGTGCCACAGCCCCTGCCTCCACTGCTGAAGGTGCTTCACCATCATTACCAGCACGAGAAGCAAACCTGCCGCCGATATCGTCGCCCATGGATTCGCCAATGTGCACAGGGCGACTGGGCAGCTCTTGGTCTTGGCTGCTGGTGCGCTGCGACTTACTGATCATCGGTGGCTTGGGCCTTCTGGAAGATGTCACTTTTGAGTCGGCCTCCTAAGTTGAATGAACCATCACCAAGAACGTCGTCCAAGTAGATATCCAATGTTGGTGCTACTAAGAAAAGCTAGATGGAGCGTGTCGACCAACGCCTTGTTTACTGATCGACCTCTTTCTGGACAGCGATCTGCTGGGCCACAGAGCTGACAGCTTCCTCCTGACATTGGCGTAACACCTCATGTTGGGGCACGATTTGCTGGACAACGTGAATACAGTACGCTTAGTTTCGGTACGGCCCAGACGATGGCCTTCATTAGTAGGTTGGGTAGGCGCTGGCTTGAGCGCTCACAGGTGCCAGCGAACGTTCTGAACTCGACTCTCAAGCTATTTCTTCGCCTGATCCACACCCTGAAGCGTCTACACGGCTGAAAACGGTTTGCTCGACCTCTTTGAGCTTCGCCCCCAAGACGTGTTCCTCCTTATCCTGCTCGCTGCCGCCACCAGCTTCACCACCGCCAGTAGGCCCACCACCACTCCCACCACCTTGCGAACTGGAGATGTGGGCCACCAGCTTGTTGTGCTTCTTCTGTAAATGATCGAGTCTCTGCTGCGAATGTACCCATGGCCTGGACGGCGCCCATCCCCCAATAAAGCGCGAGGAGCAGGCGGCTGCCGAGAAGAAGGCCACGAAGACGCCGAGTTTAGACTCGGACGGGCTGCGCGTGCGATGTGTGCGGAGGCTGGGCGTCCACACCTGCATGTGAGCCGCGATGCCTACTTGGTGTTGATACCACGGCCGCTGCACGACCAGTGCGGTGTGCGAGGTCCTGGCAGAGCCATCAGCCATGCGTAGATCCTCGGGACAGGGGTCGATGCGAGAACGAAAGATACTTCTGCGGGAGCTCACTGGAAACGCGAGGGCTGAGATCCCTCAAACTGGAAACCAAAAAAGAACCGCTGCCGCTCTGAAGACGTCTGTGAAGAGCACCACCAGAGCCAGAACGGGGGAGGAGAAGGAGGAGGAGGAGGAGAAGGAGGAGGATATAAAGCAGGAGGAGGTGGAGAAGGGAGAGGAGGGGGACGAGGATGGGCGAGCAATGGAGGGCAGCGCGGTCCCGTGCCCCTCCGCCGCGGGGTGAGCGATGAGCGATGAGCGGATCCGAGAACGGGGCGAGTCGGCTCGCGGCGGCCGCCAAGCAGGGAGGCGAGAGGAGGCGGACAGGAAGAGCAGGAGTCGGGAACGGCGGGAAGGTCTTGCTCAAGAAGGGTGATTTCGACGGCTGCTGCGGCGCCTCGGGTCGAGCTGGGGGGCCTCAGGTCGGGCCACAGTGGTCCTCAGGTCTGGCGGAACCCAACCTTGTCCAACGAAACCTTCCGGCAGCCTCCGACAGGGGAAAGAACGGGGAGGGGGGAGGAAGGCTGGCCGGCTGGCCGGACACGGGACAAAGGGCGGCGGGCGGGGGGCCCAAGCCTTCGAGGCTCTGATGCATCAGAGCCTTGGAGCCCCTGACCAAACCTCTCGACCCCTTTCCTGGGACCCGCGGTTCGTCCCGTGCAGCTTCTAGACGGCCATGGGGTCCGAAACCTGCCCCTGGAGGACAAGAGTGAAGAAACATCTCAGACTCAGTATCTCGGAGTCTCTGCAGGTCTGCATGACGTCGCTCCGGCCAAGGGCCGAGGGCCACTCTGGTGGCCGTTCGGGACGATTCGGGCACCCCTGGAACGCCCTCGGCTAGGCGCATCTGCTGAAGAGCATCCCGAGGCAGGGAGGCAAGAACATCTCCCATAACCGAAGAAATAACAAAACGGCAAAACAAACGCTCTGCCTATCCTGTCATCTCCCTTCTCATCTTACAGTGGACACATACGATGAGAAATTCTGCCTTCAGAAAATATTGGGGCACAATCTTCGTCGGTCTTTGACGATCCTAGGTCCTAGGATGCCACATACCTACATTATGTGTTTATGTTTTTTGGTAAACAAAACACAAAACGATCGGGGGACCAGCTTAGATGGGGGGGACGACTACCTCGAATCGGCGATGCATCGCCGATAAATCGGCGATTGGCACACAGTAACTAACCCGGACAGTCCTTGGGGGGATAGGGCTATCGGGCTCCTATGGGCGATCAACGAGCGATTGGGGGTCGATGCATCCCCCCTGAGCCAGTCCCCCCCTCACGTTGTCCCTGAGTTCCTGGGGCCATCGGGGGGCAAGACATCTGTGTGGGGCGCCTTCTGGAAGGAACAAACAACGGCATAAGCATAAAGTCCCAAAGATCCGTGCGGATTTCTTGGGTCCGCGCTGGGCCCCTCCCTGGCGCGTGGAGCGTGCCAGGGGTGGAGAGGGAAGCGCCGCCAAGGGGGCCCAGCGCCGACCCAAGAAACCCACGCGGAGCTCCGAAAATTTAGAGTCGTGCATGCAGTTGTTCCTTCTTCGCGCACCTGCTGGCAGGCCCATGTCTGATTTGATGTGCCCACTGTGCGTGCAGCAAGTCGCTCCTGGCGCGCTGGAGGCGCCGCCGGCGGCCTCGCCGCTGGCCGCGCCGCCCGAGCCGTCCTGCGCGACAGGGCGGCCCCGCGCGTTTCGTCGGAGGCGCCCCACGGAGGCGCCCTCTGATGATGACACCCTCGCGGCAGAAGACCCTCACCAGCCTTACACAGTTGCCATGGGGGCCACGACTGGGGGGTCACGATTGGGGGGCCCTGGACAGGGATAGGGGTAAGAAAAATAAGAGGGATCTAATAGGGATAAAAGGGTGAAGGTCTATTGGGATATAGGGATGGAGATAAGGATAGGGACAAGCTACCCCAAGCCGCAAGCCGTGTCGCTCACTCCCATCCGCCCTCCCACTACACGAGCAGCACCCGAGTCTCAGCGCAGTCAGGGGCCACCGTCGACAACCAGGAACCGACGCAGACGCCAGCCAGGGGAACAGTAGTTCAAAGGAACGGGCCACGACGGCGGCGGCGGCAACGACAAACGGCGACGAGGGCGACGGCGGCCTGCGGGCGCAGAGGCGCAGGTGAAGGAGGACGAGGAGGAGGACGAGGAGGGGGAGTAGGACGCGGAGGAGCAGGAGGACGAGGAGGAGGACGAGGAGGGGGAGGTGGACGCGGAGACAAGCGCAAGAAGAAGCGTCGTCATCGACCACGGCTGGCGACCCCGCAGTCTCCTGCTCCTCTCGACGCCCTGCTCGCTGGGAGGATCAGCAGCGGCGACGGAGGGATCGGGAACAGCGGCAGCGGCAGCAGCAGAGGAATCGGACAGGCCGAGAGGGGAGGAGGACGAGGAGGAGGGTCGCTTGCGGGAACCTCGTACTTCCCACTCGCGAGGGGGGGACGGTCTCGGCCCGCTGGCCGCGCCGCGGCCCGGCGGGAGCCAGCAGCCATGACGGAACAACGGTCTCAGCACGGCGCGCTCCTCCAGCGTGGGAAGCCGAGCTCCTGGGCCAGACAGGCCCACCTCGCCCGCCATGCCAAGCAGAAGGCGGCCCGGCAGGCCGCAGAGGCCGAGCTGCACGAGCAGAAGGGTCGACACGCCGCAGGCAGAGCTTCGCGCATGGCGGAGCCGGTGGACTCATCACGGGCGGCCGCATCAGTGGCAGCACAAAGAGACACTCTGGGGACCACGCTGGATGCCAGCCTGGGGAGAATCCACATGCCAGAACCAGAGCGTGCGAGAAGCAACGGCAGAACCAGCGCTTGCGAGAAGCGGGGTGCATCCACCTGCCAGAACCAGAGAGTGCAAGAAACCACCCTCGTGACAAAAAACAAATGTCAGCCGCTATATGCGCGCGCCCATATGTGCGAGAAGTGCTGGCAATGCCAGCAGCCCTCAGCTACACACATGTGTGTGTGTGCCCGACTGTGCGAAAACAATCCGTGTGGCAGCTTGAAGAGGCGTGAGAGGCAGTAACCAGACGTCCTAAGCTGCAGGCGTGGGACCGCACGAGTGAAAAGAGGCGGCGGTGCCAGGGGACAAAACCCAGATGTCATCAGCCACAGAAGTGGGTCCCTGCGTGCGAGAGGGGTCAGCATTGGCAGCGGCCAGTGGCCAGGCGAAACGAAAAACAAACGCCATCAGCTACAGGCGCGGGCCCGCGTGTGCGAGAAGAGTTGGCAGTGACAGCGGTCAGTGGCGAGAGTGACCGACACCAAACATCATCAGCTACATGCACGAACTCGCACGGGCGAAAAGAGCTGGCGGTGTCGGATGCCGACGCCCTCGAGATGGCCAAATGTGCGCGCGAGGCCGTCCTCGCGAGGCGCCAGACAATCGCACGCAAAGTGCCAGACGCTATCAGCCACATGCGCGGGAACAGTGGCAGCAGACAGCGCGGCAGCGGAGCGAGAAGGGCCGGCAGTGGGGCGACAAAGGGAGGGCTTGCAGTGGAGCGAGAAGGGCCGGCAGTGGTGCGAGAAGGACTGTCAGTGGTGCGAGAAGGGCAGGCAGTGGTGCCACAAGGGCCAGCAGGTGTGGTACGAGAAGGGCAGTGGTGCGAGAAGGGCCAGCAGTGGCAGCAGCGTCAGTGGGTAGAGGTGGCAACACGAAACACGAACCCAACGTCATCGCTCACGACGGAGGGAACGCGCAGCATGAGCCTGACGCCATCAGCTACGGAGGCGGCACAGCGAAGCAAGAGCCCGATAATATCAGCTACAAGAGGGGTGTCGTGACGCATGAGCCCAATGCCATCAGCTACGAGAGGGTGACTCAGCTACAAGCTGGGGTCCGTACGAGCCCGACGCCATCAACAACGAGGGTGGTGCTGCAAAGCGCGAGCCTGGCGGCATCACCCGCGAGGGTGGAGACGCGAAGCACGAGCCGATGCCATCGGCTACGAGGGCGGCACAGCGAAATACAAGCCCGATACCATCAGCTACGAGGACGGAGGTAAGGCCAAGCGTGAACCCAGTGCCATCAGCTACGACGTTAGACGGCCAAGCGCGCACCGTTTCGAGTTGGACGCGGACGCCCTACAGCAAACGGTCGTCAACGATGATGCCGCAGGCGTGGCCTAATGGCTGCGAGACCTACCTGCCTGGCGTGACCTACTGGCTCCTGGTATCCTGCACCGATTCCCGGCGAATGTTTGCAGATTCGCTGTCGTCGTCATCGAACAAGGCCACCGAGATATCGCACACCTGCTCATCACCGAAAGGAAGAAGGCCCAGGCGATGAAGGAGGAAGCGGAGGAGAAGGATATGTCCGGCAACGACAAGGGATGACAGCGGCAACTCAGGAAAGGCAGTAGCAGCTCGAAAAAGACGGCAGTGGCAGCTCAGGGGCAGTGGCAGCCGGTGCGCTGTGCGAGAAGGGACGGCAGTGGGAGCTCGGCTGTGCGAGAATGGATGGCAATGGCGCTGTGTTGGGGGGACAGCAGGGGCTGGGCCGCACGAGGGTCACGACGAGCTCGAGGAGAGCGACGAGGAGCCCGAAGAGGAGAACTACGAGTCGGAGGCGGATGACGAGATGACGCCGGATGAGGCAGAGGAAGAGGAGTAGAGCTCAAAGACGCCATCAGCTACAGAGGGCTGCGGCGACAACCTGCGGAGTGGGAAGAACATGGTCTACGTGGAAGCCCAAGCTACCTCGTCGGCTGGCGCAAGCTCAAGGACCACATGAAGCAGGCGGGCACCGTGGGATTCTGCAGAGTGCTCACAATTGACTGGGCTGTCCACGGGAGATCGCTGGGGCACGGGCAAGTGCGCTCAGGCGGAGGCCAAGAAAGCCACAACCACCCCGGCAGAGACGGAGCTCAGGGGCCGAAGATCCTCGTGAGTATGTGGCCTGGCTCTGCGGGGCGTCATCTTCCATGCGCGTGAAGAGGGGTGGCGGGGCGTGTGAGGGGAGCCAGGCACTGCGACAAGCTGGGGGACCAGCGCGCGCGAGAACTGCTGGCAGTGGTGCGGGTGCGGGACTGGTGGCTTGGCGGGTGGAGCGTGGCCTCGGGCCGCGCAGCGTTCGCCTGGACAGTCAGGGACTGATGTCATAGCAGCGCGGAAGGAGGAGGAGGAGGAGGAGGAGGAGGAGGAGGAGGCGGAGGAGGAGGAGGAGGAGGAGGAGGAGGAAGAGGAGATCAAGAGTCTGGCCAAGACTACGACCGAGGCACGGTCGCTCTTCAGCACGGTAAAACTCCCGCAACTGAAGAAGGGAATGGAAGGACACGGAGCAGCGCCCACAGGAGTACAATAGTTTCGCAGGCTGGCGGGGGCCACCTTGGGAGTTTCAAAAGCAAGGGCCTGCCTGACGACAGGCCTCCACACCCAGCGCGACCACCCGTCCGAGGTCGACCCAGGGATCTACCTTAGGCTGCAGCTTTTCACGATGTGGTCTTTGGTCATCAACACCGAGCTTACCCTTCTTGGAGGCATTCAGAAGTCCTGGGAGATCCTGAATGTCAAACTCCAGAAACCGTCCAGGTGGCTCATGGTCAGGTCTCACCTCACCACCGTCATCGCCACCCTCTACGACATAGGATGGACCACTCTCTCGGCCTGGCTCTGGAAGGGACCCCGAAGCCACGAGTTCACTGTCAAGCCGCTGAGTTGGGACCAGCAGAAGCTCTTGATGTATCATGTGGAGCTCCTCCTAACTATGCGTACGCGGGAAACTACAGCACAATATGACCATACTTCCAGGGGCCTGGAGGAGGGGGGAGACGTCTACTCTCTAAGACTCTACCCAGCCAGGAAGCGGGCCGCCATCAAGAAGCAAGAGCGAGAGATTGCCGAGAACCCCCCCCCGGCCCAGCTGATTCAGATCCAGGGGGAACTCCAACGAGTCGCCTCTCATTCAGTTGCCCTCGCCGCAGTTTCTTGTTCGAGGTGCTGGAGCACCCATCGCAGATTTAGAAGTGGTAAGCAAGACTCCCAATGTCCTCTATGCGGCCAAGATCACGCAGATGACTTACACAAGTTCTGGACGTGCCCTGAATTGGCCAACCTGAACCTCCCAGGCATCCAGCGTACACAGGCCTCAGTGGGCAGAGCTACTCAGAAATCCCTGACTAATTAGACTCTGTGGCTCCGCGGCATCATCCCAGTCACCCTCATCTGTCAGGTTCATGATCACATCCTCGGCCTAAACCAGGACACGGTCCGAGAAGGAGTTCTTGAGCATCATCAAGTCGACTAACTTGACGGCTGGCTTGTGGCGGCCACGGACGGCAGCGGCGGGACTCGCACGAAAGACCCCCGACTCCGAGTCTGTGGCTGGAGCGTCTCCCTGTGGACAGGGGACCTCACATGGAGAGGCATGATCTAAGGGGGCAGCATCGGCCCTCAGACCGCGCCCCTGGCGGAGCTCGAGGCGGCCACCGCCAGCCTCAAGTCGTCGCGGGGCCAGATCCTCATCATCACAGGTTGCGCCTACATTATCTCAGGTTTCTCCATAGGGCCCCAGTACAGGCACCCTAAGAACCCCTACACGAGGCGGAAGTTCTGGAGTCTAGCAGCTGATAGACGAGATATCCTGATCTTCTATAAAGTCAAAAGGCGCCCCGCAGAAAAAGAAACAGCTCGGGAACCTCTTTGGGCCTCCCACCCCAATGATCA